CATGCTGGCTGGGGAATTCTGGGAGTTGAAGTCCACCTGTCTTAAAGTGGCCAAGGTTGAGGAACACTGTCCTAACTGGAAGAACTGACTGCAGTTTCCCTACCCAATCTCTGCCAAACTGCTCTCTCACACCACAGCATCCATATTTCTGGGGGGAAAAAGTCTACCCGTCAAGGTTTCTCCAGAGGATGCTACATGGCAATTTTCTGTAACGCTCACCCTCCTTCTAGCGAAGAATGTTTTCAGAATAAAAGTCTGGAAATAGCAGCTTTTTTTGCTGGCCGCTCTCGCGGTTGCCTTTTCCACGGATTTTTGCGCGTCATGACCTCTGTAACTGAAGCTTTTCCTGGGGGACAAAAGGAGCCGCCGGTTGCACAAAAGGGGAGACTCGACCCGATTTCGTTCTTCTCTCGCCCCGCCCTTTCTCATTGGCTGCCCTTCTGCGCCTACCCCCCAATCTTTTCCATCCGATTGGCCGTTCAGCAGTTTTAACTATTCCTCTCCGGCCTTCTCATTGGTATTTCCAGTCGATCCACCTCCAACTTTAAACAAGATTATTGCACCCCTTCCCCCCCGCCTACCTCTCCTTTCTTTCTCAGTTATCCAGCTGTTGGAGGGGGGGAGGGGACGGAGAAGACCGGTACCCACGCAGCCCCGGAGAGCTGGGGAAAATAGGGTGGCGCGAATACAGACGCATCGGTGAGTTAGCAATAACGCTGCGCCTGTCTCTTTAAGGCATGCCGCTGGAACAGCTGGCCTAAACGGAGCTAGAGGGCCGGTGTTGGGGATGGATAAGAGGCATTAAGGCAAGTTCGGCGGGGGAGAAGCAGAGCAGAGCAAGGGGGCGCCGAGTTCTCGCCTCTCCCGCAATGCAGCGTGAGGGAAAGGCTCTCTTAGATCCACGTCTCCGAATGGCGGGATTTCCCTTTTCTTTCTCCGGAATGACGCGGTCACCGCCGTTTCCGTGGGATTCCCATCATTAGCTCTTTCCCTTTTAAGAATAGCGCTGCCAGGAAAACGGGCTAGTCTCCCGTGGGGTGCAGTGAGGAAGAGAAATTAGCTTGGGGGGGCGGCGGTTATTCCAGACAGGAAACGAGAAGCGGAGGTTACTTGGCTCTGCAGAACGGCGCTGGTTTGATTTTCCTTTCGGATCCTTTTGTCTAAAGCCAGGTTCCCCTCCTCCACTCTGTCTCCAGCGTTTCCTGCCTGTTATGCCACAGACCAGCAAATCCGCAGGCACCTAAACGGTTCCCACTTCGTGCTAAGCCATAATATGCTGTGATTGGGTTTGGCTTCCTGTATTGGGTGACCCTGGACTACTATGGTGTACCAAATCATGGCGAAATAAACTGGTTTAGTGCAGCGTGCTGTTCCAGCCATGTCTTCCTCCCTGTGCAATACTTCATCAATTCATCAGCTGTGTATTACTCACCCCCAGCCGTTTCTCTACCATTATATGTAACCAAACATTTACCTAGTCTTCTGTCAGCGCCCCTCCATCTTTTCAGATGGCTTAGTGTTCGTTCATTCTCAGAAAACTAAAGTAGAATCAGAATTTATGCTATAATTGTGGGACTGGTAACTGGTCTTCAGTTAATTTTTTTTCTTGAAGGAGCTGTTTTAGAATAAGATATAGTGTTATTTTTATTCCTAAATCTGCCCTGCAAATAGTAATTGAGAATTACTTCCAGGTAACAAGGTAAAGAAAGAGTTGTGTCAAGGTAGAAGCTTTGGTTTGCTCAGCTGTACTGTAGAAACAATCAAATTCTGTGGGTTTTAGCAGAATTCACTTCCATACAGTAATGTTTGTGGATTTATTTAGAAGATTTATACTTGCGTCTCTTCCTCCATAGGACTTGAGGCAGTATGGATGGACTGTATTCCTGCAATACCCTGAACTTGCCAATCACATTTTAGCCCAGTATGTTCTGCAATTTCATACTTGCATAGTAATGGTTCAGCATGTTTTATGTACCCACAAAATGGGGCTGATTGAACAAACCATAGTTAAGTTAATCATGAGAAGCACAATCCTGCTGTACTTATATGGTTTCCAGACTCATATCTGCTAAGCTACACTAGATGCTTTCAGACCAAGATAATGCTTAGACTGGCTTTCCATGCTGCTATTTCAAATCTATAGCTCTAAAACCAAAGGGAAGTAATAATTACAAAAGGGAATACTGGGGTGGTAGGTGTGTCTGTGAGATGATGAATATGGACATGGGATCTATGTCAATGGCTACTGGGCCTGTGGACTGGCTGACTTTGGCATGCCCAGCTATAACTGGGCTCACCATGCTGTAGGTAGTAAGTTGTGTCAATCTAGCTTGTGTGGTTGGTTGATTTACAATTCATTGTGTTTTATGAGCCCAGGAAAGTGGGGGTTTAAGGAAATTATGGTTAAATAAAACATGAATAAGTGTTGTATAAACACAACTAATATCTTTGGGTAAGCATGCCCTGGAACTACAGTCTTTCTCCTAGTTGGAGGAGGTTCTTTCAACTAGAATAACCCCAGCTTCAGAGCAGGGCTGGGTGTAGCTTATGATTCCAGAGTTTATTGAATTCTCTGGGTTTATATATGATTCAGAATACAGAAGGATCCTGCCTTGCCTCCAGAGCTAACCTTGTGGGCTTGCTTCACATCTCTTTCTCTCCTCTTCCAGGCTGGGGCCATGGCCACCTTTACACGGGAGGAGTTCTACCAGCAGCTCTTGAGCAGCTGTGTGTTGCCAACTGCTCAGCAGGGTTTTGAACAGGTTTGGACTCTGCTGCTCTTGTGCCTAGCTTGTCGTCTCCTATGGAGGTTAGGTAAGTAGAGACTGAGTTTGCACACATGTGAGGTAAAAGTAAATTAGCTAGTTTCCAGTCACAGTGTTGTTTGCTTGCAGATGTTTCATTACCCAACTAGGTAACATCATCAGTGCAAGTGAGTGTGGGGGTTTGCTGCCTGTTTATATACAGTAGTTTGCTCCGCGAGCTTTGGTGGGAATGTGGTTTCCTCTTTGGTGGTTCCTTGATTAGATTATTTTCTGCTTGATTGTTTGTCTGGTGTTATCTGATTCAGATCCCTGCTTATCTGAATGTTGGCTGCTAGAGGGGATGTGTTCTAGTCTTTTGTTTCCTCCCTAGGTTTTTTATTGTCTCTTTTGAATGGTGTGTAAATGTGATTTATCTTGGTGTGTCTGCTGATAGCTGATTCACCTGAATGCCAAGCTTCCAGTAATTCCCTAGCATTTTTGGATTTCACTTGATCTAAAATGCTAATAATTTTCCAGGACTTTTCATCAAGTTTTCTGACTACTAGTTAGTGTTTGGGGATACACCCTGCTAGTTTCTGCCTGCCTGTCCTACATAGTGGCTCTTGCGGTCCTTGTTGTAGATGATATGAAGGAAATAATCCAAGCTAAAAAAAGCTACCATTTGCAATACTTCAGAAATGCTCCCAGGGACTTGGGGCAGTTGTCAATTTCCAGTTTATTCCTGGTGTTCTTGTTCCCTCAGCCTGTCTTGCCTTCTGCTGTGAAGTTATGGTGGCTTTCCCACAATCCAGTGAGGCTGAAGAGGTTCTTGATAAATTAGGGATAAAATGAGGGCAGAGAGTGAGTGGGGAAAGAGAAGGTTCTACGGCCTCATTTGCTTGGCTTAACGTCCACTCTCTCAGGAGGGGTCTGGGTGTCACAATAAACTGGTTTATTGAATAAGTTATAATTGGCTGGGTTCACATAACACATTAAATGATAAACTGGGTTCTGTTCCCCCCCCCGCTGAAATCCAATTGACTGATTTTCAACTGAACTATTTTTCCAACCCCCACCCTTTCCCAGCAGGAGTGGGAATGACAGCAAGAGGCCTCACGGAGAAGATACTTCCATTTCCATTTCTAATTGCCCTAGTGACTTGAAATTGCTGAATTTCAGTGGCATAATTGGGAGGCTTTTTTCCAAGATCTGAGGGATCATTTAAGGTGGAAACATAAGTTGTTTGCCTCTCAAAGACCCTTCACCTCCTCTTTCCACCCTTCCCAAAACAGCACAAAGAGAGATGAACAAACATTTCCAGTGACAGCATTTTGCCACCATCAGAAGACCTTCTGTGGCCTCCAGCCGGTTGGAGAGCCTCCAACCCTGGAGAAGTTGCCCACCCCTGCCATAAGCTACGGTTTACAAACTACAATGGCTGAGACTGTATGGCATGCTAATACCCACCCACGCACAATCCATATTATGGCTAGGTGTGTTGAGTGAGCCCAGCCATGGCTAACTTCTCTTTCTGTCGTCTAAACCCCCTGCCTCTTCTTTTCAGCTCTGCCATCCTATGCTAAGCACCTGAGCACCGTCGCTAGTGGCTTCTATGCCCTCTACCACTTTTTCCAGCTGCAGATGGTGTGGGTTGTGCTCCTCAGCCTCTTGTGCTACCTGGTTTTGTTCTTGTGTCGCCACTCAACCCAGCGTGGAGTTCTGCTCTCCATCACCATCCTCATCTATTTGCTCATGGGGTAAGTGAGGAATGTGGGAGGCTTAATTAAGGGGCTGCTACAGCCATGAGTAATCTTATAGGGAAAGGATCAGTTAATAGCATGTTGCCCCAACAGAAAGCCAAGTCAATGAGGGGGACACCTTTCATAAGGGAGCATAAAAGTAAAGAAGCAGGTGTACAGTATAGATACATTGGAGGCTGGTTACAAGAATGCATATGTTGCTATGCTGTATTAATCCTGTTCTAGCCAGCCCTGCAACCATTGTCTGAGGCTTAGTTCATGGGTGGAAGCCTCCCCAAGCCACCCAAGTTTGTCCCAATAAAAATAAGTTGAAAAATCCTTAGGTTTTAACAACATATTTTAATTTTTTTAAATTCAAAACTGAGAGTCACATTTGCAAATTTAATTTATCCAAATCACAAAATGGTCTCAAATCAGTCCCCAAAATGGTGATTTCCAGAGGTGGGGCAGAGCTGAATATGTTGCTTTTCAGATATTTAGGTTTATCATTCCTTTGATGGTCAGGCTGATGAGAATTGTAGGTTAAGTTGTCTGTCCCTGTGCCAGCTAGTGTCCTCCAGATGTGTTAAACTTATGCTCTCTGGGAATTACGGAATTATAATTCAAAATATGTCAGTATATGTGTACTTGTGCCCTTGTTGCTGAAGGTTTTTGGCTTGTATTGTGGAAATGGAGCCAGGGAGAGGTTAAACCTATGGGCTAAGAAATCTGACAAATTGCTACGAAGGAGTAGGCCAGTGAGAAGTGCAGGAAGGAGGGCATCTGGGTCAACATTTGGAGACAAGAATGGATCACTGGAAGATTCCATAAATTTTGGAGTGGAGCAGTTATATCACTAGGAAGAACAGCCAGAGATCAGGGAAAGCAGACTAACAGGATGTAATGGCAGAATGCCTGGGGTTAGGTGCATTTCTAGCCACCCAACCTTTTGACATAAATGTGTTCCTTTTTATTGGAAAGCCCAGCAAGAAGGGGATCTTGAAACATGTCTGGATCCAAGGAAGGAGAAAGATAGCAAACAAAGAACCGATACACAAAGATAATGGTTATTTTTGTTTTCTGCTTCCCCCTCCTGGATTATAGAGAGATGCATATGGTAGACACTGTGAGTTGGCATAAGATGAGAGGTAAGTCACAAATCTCCTTCTGCACAGGTCTCCTGGTTTTAGTGTGGCAAGATGTATCAGAAAATCTATGCTTGGAAGAAAGCACTGCCTTTCCAAAAGGAGAACGTACTACTACTTAGAGGGTGCAGCATTCACTGCTTTGCTGCTAGGAAGCAAGACAGACCTACGGAGTTTGGATCCAGGATGCCTACGACTGGATTTATACATCAGACTAAACAATGGTTTCTTAGCTGTGTTTTATTAAATAAATCCCAATTGGCTAGGTTCATGTTACAAATTAAGTGAAAGGCAAAAAAACACACCTCTTAAAGTTGCCACGGTTGAGGAACGGTGGGCTAAGCTAAATGTCGGGGCCACTAAGTCTAGACCTCAGGACATATGAAAAGCCCAGGTCCTGTGGTTGTATTGAGCATGGGGAATAGCTAAAAGAATTGTACTGAGAAATTGGAAATGTGGTATTATTCCAGATGTCAAGGAATGGTTGTGGAAACATTGTGATCTATCTGTTTTGGAAAGGCAATATTTTCTACTAATCAAAGGATGCAGCAATAATGTGTTACTATGGCAGAGATTTTGTGAAATTTTACACTAATATTTTGTATTGTTTGTATTATGGAAGACATTGGTGACTATTGATAATATAAAATATAAGGTAGATTTATTTTTCTCTTTTTTAGTTTGCATTTTTAGTTTGTTTGGAATTATCTCTTTTCTATTTTTTAAAAAGTTTAAAGATTGTTTTGTTAACTGTGTGCATTAAATAAATAAAAGACCAGGTCCAGGTGCCCCTCCATTTCTTTTTTTCAATAATTATTTACCAGATGCCTTAGGGGAAGTCTCAAACAGGGCATTCAATTGGCATCTTTCTCCTGGCATTTGCCTCAATCCTCTGCAATTCAAATTTACAGGGGAACTGTAACAACATGTTGCAGTATTTCTTCTCCCTCTTTTTCTTTCTAAAGAGGCACAGACACTGGCCAGCCATAACCTCCAGACAGGCCCCCCTTTCCTCCTCGTGGTCACTTTCCCTTTCCTCCCATCACTCAGCCTTCTGTACCTATAGAGCAAATCTGCTGATCCGTGGTGCGTGGAACTTTTTAAGATACGCCTCTTAACAAATTTGTCTTCTGCAAATGTTGGGATTCCCCCATCCTTTTCCCTTGTTTCTGAGGGATTCTGCTTTGCCTGACATTCTATCAAGGCTTATAAACTGAGTTGCTATTAGAAGGAATGATACTCTTCCTATATATGGAGGTTCCATTCATAAATCCCCTTGGATCTGAATATCTTTGCTGGACCAAAGAAAAGTAATCTGTGTCAGTAAACCTACTTTGAGGCAGCTAAAGTTACTTGTTAAGAACGTAAGCACTGATCCTCTCTCACATTTCTGTCTACTATCACTAGGTGCCCAGATGATTGTGGCAATGAAGGCTGTGTCATTGGGCTTTGATCTGGACAGGGGTGAGGTGCCAACCATTCCATCCCCAGTTGAATTCATGGGGTATATCTACTTCGTTGGAACGGTTATATTTGGACCCTGGTTCCGCTTTCGTACCTATCTGCAGGCTGTAGAGAGCAGGAAAATAGTGAGTGCCCTCTAATGTCTATTATTGGCAAAGCTTGGCAGGCAAGTTCTGGTTGGTGGGGAAGGGATAGGGATTTCAATGATCCATTAAAAATGACACCTTTAATGGAACTTGGGAATTTTTCTCCAGGCTTCCTACAGTTGCAAATGATCAAGCCATAGCAGAGTTTTTTCCACTCAGACTCATAGCCGGAAAGCTCTGGAGCCATGGAGAATGAAGGCCCTCTACTTCTTTCCAAAATCATACTACATTTATGTTTACATTAAAGCATTTTAAAATAATTATTATGAATGAATTGATCATTTGTTTTCTTTCACTGGCCAGAATACAGGAAGTAGGTTGGATGGCATTCTGCCTACATATTTCAGCCTTTGTTACAGAGATGTAGGGGAGAGACGCTCTTTTTTACCTAAAGTAAAGTGGAATGTTGAGCAATATTCCAAACTCCAAAGCTACATTCATTAAGTATCTCTCTACAACGCAACCATCCTCTAACTCAGGGTTCCTCAACCTCAGCAGCTTTAAGATGGGTGTACTTCCACCCCCCGAATTTGCCCCCCCCCCCCCCC